TACCTTGATCGATGGATATGTAGGGCTTGTGTAGGCCTCAAACTGAAGAACCAGCGACGCGTTTTGTTTTGCCGCGAGTTATCGAACCGCAATCGAAGAAGTTCCGAACGGATGTTTCACCTATTTTCACCGCAGGGAAAAAACGTGCACTTTCGACCTTAAAGCACTTGGCCTACGCGGCCCATGGGCACGAGACCAATTGCATGTCATTCCGGACTATTTATGATTGCTCGACTGAGCTGAGGTTCAGACTCGTTGGTACCTCCGCATTAATCGGGCCAACATAACCCTGGCGTAAGCCAAGTCGAAGTAAGCCAAGTCGAATCTAACCACAGTCCGCGAAAATCGTCGCTCAGCTCCGCTAGTTTGCTCCCAGGTTCGGCTGATCATTATTTGGACGATTTGTACATCCCGGGATGATCTTCCCTTGGAACTCTATATTTGGGCTGACAATAATCCCAGAGCGGCCGCCTGTCCTACGATCAATGACGTCGAAATACAGCACTTTTAGACGCGGAACAGGAGCTCTTCTCCCGCACAAGACATCCGCAGCCGCGCAGTTATGATTCATCGGCCGATTTTGAATCTCTCGTACATGTACTATAGAGTTAGAAAAGATTCCAATGACCAATTCTGCGATGAACGCGGCGGTGTTAGCTGACGTTCATTCCTGATCCCCAGAAGAACGGAGGAAGTATCTTAAGCTTGCCGTTATATCAACAAGGGTTGAGCTGAATTTAACCTGGCGAGTCGGTGATATTTACCCATGTGAGAACATTGGACAATCATCTATTTTTGCTCAACCAAACGCACAGACTATCCTTCCGAGTCCAGCCAAACATACATTGCAACGGACGTAAACTACGTAGATCGTGGTATATTATTTCGGGGCGACGCCCCCTCCCTCTGCCCTCCCCCTCGAGTCCAGCTCGCGACAGTGATTCGCTTACGCGATGTGGGTTTACATGGTTTAAACTGGGGCAACGGTTTCAGAGAGCTCAAGCGAGGGAAAGGGAATAACACCTATATCAGGCCTCCCGTCCAATCTTGAAGCGCGGCAGGATCTTCTGTCTTCAAGTTTTTCCTGAGACGAAGATCAATATCCGTTGTGAGATAAAAGCGGGCGACAGACATACAAGGAGGCCCGCCGTGGCTATTGAAACCAGGGGGAGGTGCGCGACGGCTTCTTGAGGGCGGAGGTAGCGCGGTGGTAGACTATTTGCGCGCGACGTCGATGAAGGGCTGAGCTGGCGCCGACGGGAATTTATTGCGTCGCGAGCGAGAGGCGAGGTAAGCGAGCCCGAGGTGGTTGGGTATGTGGATGTCGAGGATGGGCGCGAGAGTTTTTTTGGGCTTGGGGAAATGGCGCTGGTGGAGGCGATCTCGGCGAAGTAGATAGAGGGTGGCGTTAGGGTCGTACGCAGCGGCAGATCTATCGAAGTAGAAGATGGAGAAAGCGACGCTCTGATGGGTAGGCGCCAGCTGTTGGAAGGTCGAGGGAGGATTGTGTGCGCGCCGGACGGTAAGTTCAAGTTGGTCGGATGATTCGATGGGTTGCAGATGACTCTGAATTCAATAGTCGGATGTGAGACTGGCAAGGAGAGTGCTTGGATGTAGAGGCGTTCGCATTTTCGAAAGGCGCCCGGGCTCGGCCGGGATTGGCGCGGGTATGTTGAGGGCAGGCGTAAAGATGTCGAGGATGAGCGTTCAGGTATCAGGGTGCGCGGAAACGACGGGAGTGAGGCCAATCTCGCAGAGTCAGATGGGTGCCAGATCGATGGAGATGACGTGCGTGATTAAGAATCTGAGGCTTTGATATCGAAAGCGGCGCCGGTGGTGGAGGGCTGAGCGCTGAGGGAGCGTGGGCGCACGCGCAGACGTGAAATGGTTCGACCGGGTTTACTTGATGATTCTGAATTCAGTGGTCGAATGTGAGGTCGGCGATGAAAGAGCGGTTGAACGCAGAGGCGTTGAGAACGTCGAGGTGCGCAAGCGCGGGCGGCTGGGCGCAGAGATACTGAGGATAGGCGCAGGGATCGTCGGGCTGACGAACGGAGCGCAGGTTGGGGCGTGCTCGGAGCGTCGGATGTGGAAGGGCGATGAAGATGGACGTGGCCTTGGATGCTGTTTGAAATGCACGATGGCGGTGGCGTCGAACTTGAAGGAGGCGCTAGGCGGGCACAGGTTTTCAACAGGCTCGCAGAAATGTTCGGCGAGGATGGCGGTCGTGTCGGACGTGTGCGGATAGTTTGAGGGGTAGATGCGGAAGATAGCGATGGAGGTGGCGTTAGACGTTCCAGGGGAGGGATAATCTGAGGGACTGAAGTCGAAGGAGGCGCCAGCTGTGGGCAGAGCTGAGGGGCGACGGTGGACGTGATGGACGGCATGATTCGGTCTGAAGTTTGCTGAAATGGCGACGTCGCGGAGCAGGAAGTTAGAGATGGCGAGGAAAGAAAGAGTGCTGATGTAATCTCGAGACGCTAGGATATTCAATCTAATACTTCGAGGCCGTGCGCCGCTGCTTAAACCAGCGGCGGAGCCGCTTGAGCGGGTTGCGCGACGACTTCTGGGGAACTGACGCGGGCGCGGCGGGAGGATATTTGCGCGCGAGGTCGATCGAGGGCCACGCGAGCGGCGGGGGGCGCGCGCGGAGGCGGGCAAGCATCTCGAGCGTGGTGGGCGGGAGGTGTGCGAGCTCAGCGGGGATGTCGATGGCGGGCGCGGAGTGTGCGCGGCGAAGCGAGTCCGCGGAAATGGAAATCGCGCAGGAGGAGGCGCGGATCGGGACGAGGTCGATGAAGGTGGAGGTGGCGTCAGAGATGGCTGGGGAGGGGTAGTCGGAGGGATTGAACTCGAACGACGCGCCGGCTGTGGAGGGCGCGGAGGGGGGCCCGAGCGCGTGGGGGACGGTCAGCAGCGCGGAGGTTGCGACGGGCTGCGGTGCGACTCTGAACAGCTTCTTCATCCGCGCGATCTCGCAGCGGAGCTCGAGGAGCGAGGGGCGTTTCGAGGGGAAGGGGTCGAAGCACCGGTGGAGGAGTTCGTGTAGCTCGTCCGATATGGGGCAGTTGCGGCTTAGGTAGTTTGGGGTGGCGAGGAACGAATGCCAGCCGGGGTCGGAGCCGCCGGCTTTGAACCAGGGAAAGGCGCCCGACATGATGTTAAGCAGGACGATGCAGAGAGCCCATACGTCGCTCTGATACGCCTCGTACGTCTCCGTGCCACGCCGAAGAGTAAGGGACTCGGGGGACATGTAGGAAGTCGTCCCCGCGGCGATGGTGCTTGGCAGCTCGTCGTCGACCGCGAGCCCAAAATCTGCGATTCTGACGTCGGTACCATCCGCGTTGCAGAGAATGTTCTCGGGCTTCAGGTCGCGGTGGTGGATGCCGCGCTGGTGGCAGTAGCGGACAGCGTCGAGCAGCTGCAGGAAAGTCTGCTTGATGAGGGCGTCGTTGTCCTCAAACACCCCAGCCTCGATGGGCGCCCAAAGGTCGCCGGCGGCGAGCTCGAGGACGACGCAGAGGAATCCCCGCGTGTAGAACTGGCGGTGCAGGGTGATGATGGAAGGATGGGGGGAGCATACGGTGTGCAGGTCGATCTCGCGCTTGTCGTAGCGAGAACCCGCCCCGAGGCATTTGACCGCGTAGTGAACGGGGGCCTCTAGAGGTGATGAAGCGTCCAGCGCTTTGTACACGACGCCGTAAGACCCGGCGCCGAGGACCTCTAGGAGGCGGAGACGACCGTCGTCGACGAGCTGGCCGGTGAAATCAGGGAGGTTGTTGGAAGCAGGCATGGTAGGAAGACCAAAGTGCAAAATAAGATAAGAGGCAAGGTAAAAGGGCAGCAAGAGAGCAAGTAGAGAGCAAAGGCCACGGTCAACGTGGTGGTAGAGAAGAAAAAAGTGTTAGGGGCAACTGAGTCGCCTCGCGGAATTTTTATGCATTAGGAGAAAATTTGCTTCCGCTTGGCTTCCGCGACATTTCCGATCGGCCAGAGTCCAGACATGCCACGAGGTCTCCACGATCAGGTTCGCTGCGTAAACCGTTGGAACAGAAGCGGTAGGTTTGAGGGACGCGTAGAATCGAGCCCTTGAGACATGGTGGTTGGAGACAAGCGGAGATGATTGAAGTCCGACTTTCGGCTCCGCATGGGCGGCATCTCGGCAATGCGGTCACTACTGTTTGTGAACTGCATGGTACAGACGACGGGAGGGTAACAATATTAGGTTGGGTCAACTGCGCTGGGTATAGCAGTCACCCTCACATATGCAGTTTTTCTGCCGGCGAGATGAAAAAAAAAACTCGGGGCGGCCCGAACATCCCAGGCTGAACTCGATCTAGGATCCTCTTCGAATAATCCACCATGGCATCGCGCCCATAATCGAAGGCGCGATTCCTTCTGCTAACTCTCCTCACTAACCTTCACATGTGCACTTTTCTTTTGCAGGCGCAGTGAACAAAAAAAACTGAACGAAGCGCGACCTAGCCTGGAGTCGAGCCAGGAATGCCTGCTGTGAAACTTGGAAGTCCAGCACTGTATGCAGGTGCGATTCCTTCCGCCGCTAGGTCTGCTTCACTGTGAATTGATCCTTGCTAAATGCACCTTTTCGTGCGCGAGATGGCAAAAGAAGCAAGCGTCAAGCGGTCAAGCGCATGAGCCTAGACTCGAACCGGGACCTCCCTCGAATGATGACCACGCTTTTGTTCCTACGAAGGGTGCGAATCCCTCCGCCACTAGGTCTATCTGCTGTCGAATTAATCCTTATAGGTTCAGCTTTTGTGCAGGCGAGCTGATAAAAGCATTGGACGAGCAAGGACCTTATGACCTAACCTGGAGTCGAACCAGGACCTCCCTCTGGAACTGCTATTGATACATTCACGCAGGAGCAGCGGGTGCGCTTCATTCGCCACTAGGTCTCCTTACCTGTTGATTGACCCTCCCTATATTCAACATTTTCGCAGGCGATATATTAAAAAATTACTCTCACCACCATGCATTTACGACCTAGCCTGGACTCGAACCAGGACCTCCCTCCTATAGCAGCTATGCCGTGTCCCCACAAAGTAAGGGTGCGATTCCGTCCGCCACTAGGTCTCTTTCCTATAGAACTCGCTCCTCATATATACAGTACTTTCTACAGGCGAAATGATAAAAATGACTCACACCTGCCGCATGACCTAGCCTGGAATCGAACCAGGAATGCCTGCTGCATTTCAACGGATCTTATTAGCCACTTTATGCAGGTGCGGCCTTCCGCCACTAGGTCTCTCTCCGATAAAACCCACCTCTCATACATGCAGCTTTTTTTGGAGGCGAGACGACAAAAATGCTTCACACCGCAGACCTGGAGCATGACCTAGCCTGGACTCGAACCAGGATCTTCCCCCGGAATTCTCTTTTCGCGGGTAGCTTTAGGAGGAGGGGATGCGATTCCGTTCGCCACTAGATCTCCTCCCTCAATTCGCCCTTCATATGTGCAGCTCTTTCGGCCGGCGAGATGGTTAAAAAAAAATGGTTTTGCCCTGGTTTGCCACGACATTTGAGATCGCGGCCAGAGTCCAGACATCCCACGCCACAGGCAGTCCGAGCGGGATCGTAATCATTGACGCGGAAGGAGGTGGGGCGAACCAGCGGTAGTTTGAACATCAGGAAGAAAACCATCTTGCTACGGCGCTATTGAGCGCTATGGTACTAATAGCAGTCGATAGCGCTTCCAGCCTGTCATAGCAAGGTGATTTTTTCGGATGAAGGGAGACCGCAGAAATTGGTGTTTGAGCCAAGCCTGCCAAAATCGAGATGATTGATGGCCGACCATCAATTCACTTGCTATTGAGTTGCGTTCCGACCCGTAGGTTTTCAACCAAGCGCCTGATGGCGGTTTCAGTTGAGGATGCCGTAACCTCCCGTACCCGTCCCGCAAATTGATTCGCGGGAGTCTCTACGATGTCGCTCCCGCGTTGGAGCCGTCGGAGACGGGTAGGCCCGCGTTCCAGATATTTTCTCTATCGAGTTGCGACGATGCATCCTTTGATCCAACGGCCTGAGTTAAGCAGCCTGAGCAGGTAAGCAAGTATAAGAAGGCGCGAGCCTTGCTATTCTAGGTAGTTTTCGTCCCTCGCTCTCCCCATGTACATCACACATCGCCTCCTCGCGCTTGCCCTCGCGCTAGCCCCCAGCGCGTACGCTGGGTTTTCCGGGAAGACCACTCGAATCATGCCCCTCGGTGGTGCGTCCCCGTATTTCTCCAAGTGCACTGCGCACCGAGCTAATCAATCTATGTTCAGCCTCGATCACGTTCGGCGTCGGCAGCACCGACGGGAACGGGTACCGCGCAGACTTGTACAACCTGCTCGCCGCGGACGGCAACATCGTGGACATGGTCGGCTCGCAGAAGGGCGGCGACTTCTTCGACCCGTACAACGAGGGCTACCCGGGCTTCATCATCACGCAGGTGAACAATAAAAGCAACGCTGCGATGCCCGTGTACCGGCCCAACGTTGTCACACTGCTCGTCGGCACCAACGACATGCTGCAGAACATCGACCCCGCAGGCGCGCCCGCCCGGCTCTCCACGCTCATTCAAGACGTGCTCGACGCGCCGCCGCTGACGCTCGTCGTCCTCGCCACGATCCCGCCCAACGCAGACGTGGACGCCAACACCCGTATTGACACGTACAACGCCGCGCTGCCGGGGGTGGTGGCGCACTTCGTGCATGCGGGACGCTCGGTCGTGCTGGCGGATTGCCACGCGGTCGTCGCGTTGGGCGATTTGGTGGACGGGACGCACCCGAATGATGCTGCGTACGCGCGCATGGCGAAGGTGTTTTACGACGCGATGCAGGTGGCGTTCGCCAAGGGGTGGATCTTCAATGTTGAGTACTAGTAAGGATCCGCCACGTGCTCACTTTCTCGAACTGGCGTATTCGTCAATTCTCAGTTCGGTTTTCATTTCTCTTTTGTTAGTACTCAGTTTCAGTCGTTTCTAGTCACATTAGTCAGTAGCTGGATCCGTAGGATCCTCCTTTTATAAATACCTAGATAGTCCGTTAAGGACAGACTTACGTTCAACACGTATACTTGATCGATTCAACTCAGTCCGACTAAGCATACGACGCAAGAACTAATCTCTGTGTCTACGACTTTCTTCAAGGGAAATTCCGTAGCCTCACATTTTCTCGTATTAAAATTTTCTCGTGTTTGACGCAATCGGACTGATCGTCCTGTTGACCGGCGTTGGCGCACGGAACCAACAATTTACAAACTCTCTAACAACATGCATACGCACCGGGAGATGTACACTTCAGTCGCGCCTGGAACCCCCAGAGATTGTGGGATGAAGCGGCCGAATGGTTGCACATTTAGCTAAGGAGGTATAGGTTGGTTGCATTCCACGGCACAGGCTGTAAGTTTAATGAAAGTATGTGTACTGTGGGTTGAATCACATTATTTAAGTTCCAAAGTCCAATGCAAGGTCCAATGTCCTGATTTTGTCCGCCCATGTTTGCAGTTGACTCACTGCTTCGCTCCTCGATTTTGCGACTATACGTAGTGGAGCAATCTACCTAGTTCCCCCAAGCTGCGCGGGGGTGAGCGCGTCGTAGGTCGGGCAGAGCTTGTGCCACTCGTCTGTTAAGAGGTTTCGGATCCACGTCAGAAACGCGGGACTGCGCGAATAAGCACGGGACATACGGGGCTGCACGGAGTTCGTGACGGTGTCGGTGTCCTCGGCGAATACGATGGCAAGGCCGCTGGAGGGGATAGTGAGTGACGTGGAATGAAGCCGAGTAAATGACATACATTTCCAGATGGAAGTCGATGTGGCTGGAGGGCATGTAAATTAATCATCATCCAGTGCAGAGAAAGTGGATACATGCCAGTGCAAGAACCACCTGGAGGCGGACGCGCATTGTCAGGTAGGAGCGGATGTAGGTCTGGGGCTGGACTTACGGGCCCGCGTTGTCAGTGACGAAGCGGATCGTGGTGTTATCGCTGCAGAGCCGAGGTCAGCATGCGCGTTGACATCAATGCAGATACACACGTCGTGTTTGCCCCGGTGCTAACGACGTCCCGAATGACCTGTAATGGGGCTCAGGGATAAATCGAGGCGCACGGCGCATCAACGCACTGGGTCGTGGAAGTTGAACGTGTCGCTCCCCGCGCTCTTGATGACATGAAACGTGTGCTGTAAGAAGTGTGTTATATTTGATGTGCATGCGAAACCAGGAACAACAGAGACGCACGCCGTGAAGATGGAACGGGTGCGGCGCACCGGGCGTCCCACCGGGCATGGATATCTCAATCACAGAATTCCGCGGGAGAGGGTACACGCTCCCAGCGGGCAGCAGCTCCGCCGCGGTGTGTGCGCCGCTGAGGATCTGCAGCAGCACGGGGGCCGTCGGGGGCGTGAACGTCTTGGGAGGAAAAGGAAACTAAGGCGTGCGTAATACGGAGTTAAGAGAGGACTCACAACGCCGTTGACCTGGAATGTGAAGCTGGTGAAGTCGAGCGTAAAGACGAAGTTAAGCGCGACGTCTGCGCCCCCCGCGACTGGCCTCCCCGGAACAGGTGGGCCGTGAAGCGGGTGCAGATTCGTCTCGACAAGTGCTGCGACAGCTGTGGTTGCCTCAATCGAGGGGTCGGCCTCGTCGGCGCCGATGTAGCGCAGGATCGCCGAGTTGATCCCGTTGTCGAAGCCGGCGGTGCCGCCGTTCGCGACAGTGCGGATCCAGTAATTATCGACCGGCTTGTCTGCTTTGAGTACGAAGGAGTAGCGCTGGCCCGCGTCTGTCAGCAAAGAAACGAAATCAGCGCCGCACATTTAAATGGAACGGAAGAGTTGCGCACAGATCTGGATCGAATCGACAGTGTGGGGCTTGTGGTTGACGCCGTCGACCTCGATTATAGTCATGTCGTGGCCGTCGATGGTGAAAATGAAGTTGGGGTCTGGGTCGGCGGTCAGGGCTGGCACCTATGCTAATATGGATGCGCGGTGCTCACCGCACGATAGGGATACCAGGCGGAATCTGTAGCGCAAGCCGCGTCGCACTCGGATGACTGCCAACTCCGAAGTAGGCTGCAAGTGTTATGAATAATGTGTTGGGAACAATAAATTGCTCGGCACATACTCCTCCGGCATAGCGGCCTGTCAGACGATGAGCAACAGCGACACGCGGCCAAGGATATAGTTACTAACCGAGACCGTTAATCAGTGTAGAAACTAGAGTCTACGAAGAGAAACGTCAGGATGGTTTGAGCGGGTGTTTTTGAGAAAGGATAGTTACAGGCACAACTCCGAGCGAGTGTGCGGGACCATGATACCAATCAGAAAGCGTAATTACAGTGTGCTCTGAAACCAATACATAAGCCCGAGAGAAAATGGCGGAAGTAGGCTCGTACCATTGTCGACATCTGTCCCATAATGTATGTTAGACAGTGAAACGAGGATGATAGGAAGACATACCGTAGCGATGCCGGTGTGGGTCGAAGGGATCATACACTGCAAAGTGTACCCAGCTTGATGAGCACGTCTGGCAAATGCTGTTCACGACATACCGACCATCGGTCCGCGGAGTCCGTCGCAGTACTGAGTCGCTTTTTCAGGGTCAGCATCCCCCCTGAGAGACAGTGGCAGAAGACGCACACAAATGGCTATGATACCAGAAGGTTCCAGCCTGATTTCCGGTCGAAAACGAGTACAAGAACGAATTGTTGGCAGCGATGGGGCATTGTGTCACAAAGGCAACTCTGGACGCTAGTCAGTAATGTAAAATGGGGAGAATCGAGTCGCGCACCCATCAGCCCAGCTGGTTCTCTTCTGGAAGAAGCCGTGCCAGTGCTGAGGCAGTTGCAATACATAAAATATCATGCCAAATGACGCTTGATGGACGTACGATTGTGCTGCTGAGCAACATGGTGGGATCTGTGAGGGAGTTGACGACATTCAAGTTGAAATGATCGCCCTGGAGGAAACGAACGCTCAGATAATAGGATCGGTGGATCAATGCCGAAGCGCACCTTTTTTGCAACAATGAGCGGCCCGGGATAGATGCCATTCGCGAGGACAGCGCTGTAGAAACTCATCAAGATCGCGGAAAAATCAAAGGAGGACTGCGTACGAGCGACTGTAGCCATCAGGAGATATGACTGCATTCCTGAGCGTAATATCTGCCCAGGGTCCCACAGCCGCAAACGTGGGAGACAGTAATGACAGAGCGAGGAGAAAGATGAGCAACATTGGACTGGGTGGAACTCGAGCGACGGCCCCGAGTGAGGCTTTTATGTGCTCGCCCCACCCGCAAGAGACGAAACACAGGGGTCGGACATGCGATTTGAGTTTTGCATTAGTTGTAAGGCCCACCCCGATCGCTTGCGACAGGGCGCATGCGCGGCCACCGCAGATGAAACGGATATAAGTACAGGGCGAAGAAGCGATTCACCCATTCTTACCATCGCCCCAATGCTGTTCAAAGCCGTCCTCAGTGTTCTCGCTCTTGCGTCCGCCACCGTCGCCGTAAGCATCACGCACTTGTTCTTCCATCTCGCGCTGAATCTTTGCAGGCTCCCGACGATGCGGCCGAGGTTTTTGTCGCGACGCGAGTCTATAAGACTGTCACCGATGTCGCACCGTACATTGTAACCGCGACCAGCACCTTTACATGGACGTAAGTCACTATCTTCATCGTTTTTTCCGGAACCGACCGGGTCCGCAGCCAGAGCCCCAGTACCACCATCGCCCAGCCTACCGGCTCCGGAATCTTTTAGGAGTAGACTGAGAATGTGGCCAGTTTAATTTGAGTTTAATTATGGACTTGTGCCTCGTCGCTCGAAAAACGTTTGATAAGGATCCGGTGAAGTGCCGCTCATTCCATATTTCAATGATGCGCTTCCCGGCAATACCCGACCACGTGTCGCTCGGTGATTGCCGCTTCAAGTTGCCACCTTTGCTCTTACCCACCACCTCTGGCACTTGCATTCACAATCTAGGGGGACGCCACCTGCTACTACGAAGCACCAGGAATCCCTTCTGCCGAATCCTCAGTTCTCCGTTGGTCTTGAAACCGCAGAATCACCCCATGCCGAACCAAATTAGCGCCTCCGGGAGAAGAGCTCCATACCTTTCCCGCCTTCGCTGGCTTTCTTTACTTATGTCACCACTATTCTTGGAATACCCCCGGCCTAAAAGCTCTCTGCACAAACTTGATCAGGTGCAACGTGATATATCCTGGGCTCCTTGTACTCTCCTTTTCTCGATTCGTGAATTCTTCAGGGCTCGCGCAACGCCCTCCAAATTCCACAATCTCAATGCGTGCCAATGCTCCTTTTTAAAACGGTCAACTGACCACGGGGGCATTACTTCGAGTATTCAATTAGCCGCGTCTGCCACTGAATCACCGTTCTTCCCTGCGTATTTATGCATAAACTGCGCCCCACCCCAAGACCTTGAGCTTCCTTCCCCACTCGCGAAATGACAGATACTCCCGTGAAGTCTGCGCCCGGCGCCAACGCCTACACCGAGTTAGTCGATCCTAAGCGAAAGTGGTACAACAACAGGCGGTGAGTCGGCGATCTTCTACCTGCATAGTCATCCTTATCATTGGCCGCAGACTTATCGCGCTGAATGGCTGGATCGTCTTACTGTGCGTCCGCCTCGCAGAAAACTCTTCGTTCCAATCTGCTCACACTACTCTGCAGGCTAATCACATCGTCTGCGAGTGGGTACGACGGGAGCATGATGAATGGGCTCCAGTCCCTGCCGCAGTGGGAGGTGTACTTCAACTTCCCGACCAAGGGCAGACTCGGGCTACTCAGTTCCATCCAAGTGCGGCCCGGTTCCCGCAGAACGGTCAGGTTAATTGATTCCTCCGGATCCCACAGAATATCGGAGCGCTCGCCGGGTATCCGTTCGCGCCATATCTCTGTGACGGCATCGGCCGTCGTCCGACGGTATTCATTGGCGCTTTGATGATGGTAATTGCGACCGCCATCCAAACCGCGTCGCAGTCTGTGGGCATGTTCATCGGCGCGCGGTACTACTGTTTCTTAAATCCTGACCCCAGCGTCATCTAAATTCCATGCAGATTTCTCATTGGCTTTGGCCTCACCTTCGCTGGTAAGCAGCGTAGCCCACTTGAGCATCTGTGCTGAGTTAGGTGTCGTCATCAGCCAGCGCAGCGCCAATGCTCGTCGCAGAGCTCTCATATCCCAAATATCGTGCTCCCCTCACATCGGCCTACAACTCTCTGTGGCACTCGGGGTCCATCGTGTACGCATCCACCTCTACCTATTCGTTCTATTCGGCGGGCTGATAAACTGCTGTACAGCGCGGCATGGGCGACCTTCGGATCTTTCAAGATCAATAGCACCTGGGCCTGGCGCCTGCCTTCCGTCCTGCAAGCCGTGCCCTCGCTCGTCCAAGTGCTCTTGGTCTTCTTTGTCCCGGAGTCCCCGCGGTACCTCGTTAAGAAGGGCAAGGAAGCGCAAGCGCTGAAGATCTTGGCATATTATCACGCGGACGGCGACGAGTACTGTTGTGTTATTTGTGGCCATACTTCGATTCTGACGAGCAACACAGAAATGACGCGTTGGTTCGCTACGAGTTCGAGGAAATCAAGGCAGCGATGGAGTTTGACCGCACAGGTATAGCTACCATTTCTATGTCAGCTTCACCGAGTTCATGGCGGGCCTTTCATCAGTGGCTGCGAACGTCGGTTGGAAGTCGTTAATCTCCACTGCGGGCAACCTAAAGCGCGTCCGTATCATCATCGCGATCGCGTTCTTCTCCCAGTGGTCCGGCAACGGCCTCGCCTCGTACTACCTGAACAAAGTCCTTTCCGACATCGGCATCACGAACCCCACCACACAGGTACCCGTTCTCTAAATGATCTCACCCGCAAGGGAAGCTCATATTTACTCTCTTCAGTTGCTACTGAACGGCATTCTCAGCATCTGGAGTCTCGTGTGCGCGCTCACCGCATCAACAACAGTGGAGCGCTTCGGCCGGCGCGTCCTCTTCCTGAGCTCGGCGTGCCTCATGACGCTCTTTTTCACGATGCAGACCATCTGCTTCGCGCGCTTCACCATCAGCGGGAACAAGAACGCCGCGAACGGCGTCATCGCGTTCATATTCCTATACTCTGCAGCGTACAAGTGCGTCTTCGTTCTTCGTTAATTTGAAGCGGCTTCGGTTTAAATTGCATCCAGCCTGGCATTCTCCCCTCTCATTGTGACCTACGCGCTGGAAATCCTACCTTACAACATCCGCGCGAAGGGCTTCAATGTGTTCAACATCACCATCTCCATTGCCCTTATATTTAACCAATATGTCAATCCGATCGCATTGTGTGCGTCTGCTGTACTTCTTCCTCAAAACACGGACACTGACAGAGTGGGTGGATGAACAGCGGCGCTCAACTGGAAGTACTATGTCGTGTACTGCGTGTGGCTCGTCTGCGAATGCGTCTTCCTCTATTTCTGTGCGTCTTCTGTTGACACTTTGTATCCTTTAGTTTTAATGATTATTTGTCATTAGATCTTGTCGAGACAAAGAACCACACACTCGAAGAGACTGCGGCCATATTCGACGGGGCCACGGAGAAGATTGCCGATTCTGCTGCGACGCATGTGGTCGGGAAGGACGGCGGAGGCATGGGCGGCGACGAGAAGGGATCGAGCGAGTTTGTGGAGAAGGCTTGAATGGTATCTTCCGTTTCTTCGATCAATTGTTCAATGAGAGTAAGGGTTGCTAAGATATCTGCTGAGGTTGTACGTTTAACGCCGCTCAGACTGAGCTCGAACTAAGGACCCCTAGGACCTAGTGCCGAAGTGAATTGCCCCTGCATTTCATTTGTGTAAAATAGCAAAAGTCACTGCAGGCATTCCTGGTTCGAGTCCAGGCTAGGTCGTGCACCTTTCGAGCAAAACAGTTTTGTATCTCGCCTTGGAAAAGCTACATCTATATGGGTTTAATTCAGAGGAAAGAGCCCTAGTGGCGAAAGGCATCGCACCTTTCGAGAATTACAAATCCAGAGGGAGGCACTGGTTCGAGTCCGGGCTAGGTCGCCAGGCGGGCCATTTTTTGACCGCCTTGCTTGCAGAAAAAGCCACAAATATACGGGGTCCGCTTTATAGGAAATCGAACCTAGTGGCGGAAGGAATCGCTCCTGCATCTGATAGATCGTACTGAGAGGCTGTCGCAGACATTCCTGGTTCGAGTCCAGGCTAGGTTGTGCGTAGCGTTGCCGACCGGATTTTTTGTCATCCCACCAGCCAATAAAACCTGCATATCTGAGGTGAGAGTTCCAGAGGGAAGGGACCTGGTAGCGGTCCTGCGGAATGAAACGCCCCCTCAATTATTGAGCTTTCACATCGTTCCATTATTTGAAGGGGATCCTGGTTCGAGTCCAGGCTAGGTCATACGCATGGGTAACAGAAAGTTTTGACGTCCCGCCTGCGAAAAGCTGGATATGTGAGGGATCCCTTCATTGAGGAGGAGACGTGGTGGCGGAAGAAAATCACACCTGCCTCCAGCGTTTAGCAGGAATGGGTTCCAGCAGGAATTCCTGATTCGAGTCCAGGCTAGGTCTTGCTCGATTGCAGACGCCATACTTTTTTATCATCTCGCGTCCAACAATAAGCTCCAAGTATGGGGTCGACTTCAGAGGAAAGAGACCTAGTGGCGGAAGGCACCGCACCTGCATCCAGTCGATGCTGAGGAGAGATGAATTACAGCAGGGATCCCTGGTTCAAATCCAGGCTAGGTCGTGAATAGTTGTTATATAGACCATGTTTAGTACTCCACTCCAAAAAATGCTGCACGTATGAAGGTCGAGTTCATAGGCAAAGAGACCTAGTGGCGGAAGGAATCGCACCTGCATCAGTTCAGAAGACTTCGGGTGACTTACAGCAGGCATTCCTGGTTCGATTCCAGGCTAGGTCATGGATGGGTTTCAAGTGATTTTTTAAACAATTAGCCCGCAGCTCCAGGTATGAAGGGCAAATTTGGAGAGAGGGAGACCTAGTGGCGAAGGGATCGCACCTTCCAACAGTAAATGGTGCATTGTTCCTGTGTCGAAGAAGGTCCTGCTTCCAATCCAGGCTAGGTCGTGAAGATTTAGGAACATACACCATTTTTAGTGCTCCGCTCCAAAGAATGCTGCATGTATGAGAGGTGAGTTCCACAGCGAGCAGACCTGGTGGCGGAAGGAATCACATCTGCATCCAGTGTATAAGATAAATTCGACGCTGCAGGCATTCCTGGTTCGAATCCGAGCTAGGTCATGGGGAGTTTGCTCATCCAATACTTTTGCTGTCTAGTCTGCACAAAAGCCACATATATGAAGGTCGAACTCAGAGGGAATAGGCCTAGTGGCGTAAGACATCGCACCCTCGATTATTGCAAGGTAATCTCAAACACTATTCGAGGGAGGTCCTGGTTCGAGTCCAGGCTAGGTCATGCGGAGTTTCAAGTTGTTCCTTTACTTATCTTGGCTCCCCAAGCGCTGGATACAGGAGGCATGAACTCAGAAGGAAGGAGGCCTAGTGGCGGGATGTAACGCGCCTGCATCCAATAGATGAGAGAAATGAGCGACGGCAGGCATTCCTGGTTCGAGTGTAGAGCGCAATGCCGGAGGAGACTAGAATAACAATGTAAGCTAGGTAGAGTCAGTACGAGGTAAGTACGAATATAACGAGGGAACGTACATCTCAGTAGGCGTATAACGACCAACTGAGATGTACCACGTAAGTAGAAAATTTTGTAGGTACTGTACGGCAACTAATATAACTATGAATAGAAGTAACTCCATAAAGGTAGACGGCGTAAGCTTGTACCTCAACATCGAGTCCAGGCTAGGTCGTTCGCCGACTCCCAACCTTTTTTAAACTTAAGTTTTATTGCGTACCTGCCTTGCTTCCCGGATTTAGGTCGCCCCACCATAGAGAGAGTCGTCCTATAAGTATTCCTTGCGGGCATTTAAGTAGAAGCCGCAGGTGATAGATGCCCGTGGCTGTGCCCGTGGCAGCCGAACAACCACGATGTCTTCCCAGCGACCATCCATCCATTCATTTCGCTCTCTCCTCTCACTCTCACCTCATACACGCTTTTTTGGTAAGTCCAGCCTGTATCAAGGGGAGAAGCTCATACGTGATACGCAGGTGGCCAGTGATCCTCGTGTAAGATACCGGAAGATCTTGGGAAGATCTCGAAGGAAGGAAGAAGGGTATTTTCGTCGGTGAGAATTTGGTGAAAATCGGTGAGATGGATGGATGGACGGTGGATGGATGGCTGATATATAGTTGGGTTTCAGTCTTGACGGCGACCGACTTGAAGGACACGGACGACGTTCAGCGCGACGTGTGAGTCTTCGTCCAGTGTTCTTCAAGTTGTTGTGATTCAAGACTGACACTTTTCTACTTCCTTTCTTTCCAGCATCCTTTCTAAATCTCTGGCTTCTGCCCAAATTCTATCCACAGGACCCTGCACACGCCCACGCGCAGTTCACGCGCCGACGCGACGCGTGCGAGCGATCACGGGCATTTGATAATTGACTCGGTCGTCAAGGCGATCCTCGGGCTCCACCAACCGCAACCGAGGCCCGCTCTCTTTTTTCTCTCGTCCGCTACCCGCTCTGAGTCTCTCCTATCGGCCTCAATCTGGACCTGACCCGAAAGGGGGGAACCAACGTCAGACGAAAAAAGCAGGAAGCACTGAAGCAGAAAGGAAGCGGGATGCTGCGCCGCCGCCGTTCGCTTGCTGCGCTCCTCTCGTCGTCGTCCGCGTCGTCGGCCTCGGCTTCGGCAGAGGCGGAGGAGGACGTCCCCCCGCTGCCGCTCGGCCTCACGCGCGCTACTCCGCGCGCGGTGAACGGAGTGAAGAGTGGTGTGTCCGGTGGGGCGAAGAGCAGCGCACCGCATACGAACGGAGCCGAGACGAATGCGAACGGGCCGAAGAGCAACACGCTCAAGAAGAGCGGGAGCATCAACCGCGGCGCACCCGCACTCAGCAGCGTCAAGAGCGCTCCCTTGAGTAACGGGAAGGGCAAGGAGAAAGAGGGCCTCATCCGGCGCGTCTCCGCGCTCTTTCGCGTCTCCTCCACCTCCTCGTCCCCCGCGAAATCCTCTAAACGCGGTGCGTCTCCCCCCTCCTTCTCTTTGCGTTACACTGGTGCTGACACGCGTGTATGCGTATTTAGGTGGATTCAAGCCAACGCCGCGGTACAAAGCGGGCGTGGCGTCCACTCCCGACGTCCGACGCGCGAACGCCAAACAGCTCACGTCCTCGTCGACGGCGGACGAGGAGGAGGAGGACGACATCCGGCGGCCCTCGGGCCTCGGGCGCGTTGCGTCCCTCTCGCGCTCGCGCTCTCCTTCCTCCCGTATACGCCTCCACCCGCACGCCCACGCGCTCGTCGAGGGCTCAGAGGAGGGCTCAGAGGATGATGGGGACTCGGACGCGGAAGACGACATCCGGCAGCCCGCGGGCCTAGGAAAGCCCGCGTCGCTGCGCTCGCTGCCCCTCCTGCGCGACGCGGACGTGGAGGCGGAGGAGGCACGCGCGTACATGCGCCCGTGGGAGCGCGTGCCGTCGCTCTCCGCGTCCTCTGCCTCTCACCATTCTCCGCCGATGTCCACCGCGAATGCATCGACGCCCCGCGCGCGCACGCGCTCCACGCCGCTCCCGTTCTTCCCCCGGGGTACGTCCCCGCCCCTGCCGGCGCTGCCGAGGGTGCAGCTGCCCGCGGCGCTGTGGGCGCGCGTGCTGCGGCACGTCGCGCTGCCGGACGCGGCGAGTGCGGCGCAAGTGTGCCGCGGGGTGTGTGGGGCCGCGCGGGGGCGGATGTATGGCGCAGTGGATCTGCGTGCGCCTCCGCCTTCCCTTGCACATGCCTCTTCTTCTTCGCTCGCATATGGAGGCGGGCCTTTCGGTGGCAGGGGAAGAGAACTGGGAAGAGAAGGGAGAGTAGGAACGCGAGAAGGAACGCGAGAACGAGAAGGAAGCGGGGGAGACAGAGGAGGGGCAGGGGGAGGACAGAGCCTCGCGCGGAGCCTCCGTGAGACGCATCTGGCGGGGCACGTAAGGGCCGTTGTGTGTGCGGGGTGGCCGCCGTGGGACGGGGAGGAGGAGGAGGAGGTGCGTGCTTTTTCTTTCGTTTCCTTTGAGTCCCCGTCTCGTTTCTTTTTTGGCCACCTCGTCCCTCTTCCATCGTTTCTCCATCTCTCCACGCCATCGTTGTTCTACCTTCTTCCCCTCCTTCATCCGGCCCCTTCCATCCATTGTCTTTTCCAGGCGCATCTACACTCTTCCTCCCTTGCCCATCCGGCATCTTGGACAGCTGCGTCTACAACTTCCCGGTCCATCCTCCCACCTCTTCTATCCACCTCTCGCGTCCTTTTGTGCGTTTTCCTTCTTCACTCCTGCGTCTTCCCACGTCCACTTTCGTCCTGAGCATCACTCTTCCCAGCTCCTCCGTGCATTGATTTCGTCCCTCCCCCTCTCTTCCCTCGTCCGTTATCATGCTTCATGTCCGCCCCCGCCCACCTGCATCCTCCTCCGCTCTCATGCAGCTCTTTCTCCGTTCCATCTTGCTACCGCTGCACGTCCCCCTCCATTTCATGTACATCCTTGATTGTATTTCGGCGCTTGCATTCCCTGGTTCCTTCTATCTTCATTTCTCATCCCTTTCTCTCCTTCCCCGCATGTCCTCGCGTCGCCCATCCATGCTGTTTCTCCTTTCGTTCGCTCCTACCTCTCGCGATCACCATCCTACTCTCCTTCGTCCGATCATGGTGTCCTTCCATAGACCCAATCTCCTTCCTCTCCGCAGCTTCCGCGCCTTCATCGTATCGTGATGACGGTCCCACACGGCCCCGTGTCTGCGGTTGCTGCACATTCTCAATCCCGCCACATCCGTTTTCTATCCTCCGTTTCGTACCATCGACGCTTCCACGTGCTCATCCTGCGCCATCTCCTGCTGCTCTTCGTCAATATCCTTCCGTTCGCCCAGCATCCCCTTCCTTTTCTTGATCCACCGCCTAGCCCGCGTTACATCTGCTCATCCTGCGTCCCGTTCCTCTACCATCACGCCCCACGCCCCGTCCTTCCAGCCTCGCGCCCACTCTTCTCCTCTGCGCCCACGCGCTATCGCCCGTTCCCAATTATTTCTTCGTTATCGCCCCCCTTTTACTTCACTTCTGTACGTCCCAGCGTCCTAACACCCTTCCCCGCAGATGCATTTTCCCGCTTTGCGCACGCTCACCATCTTCCCCGCCCCCACCGGCCCGCTCGACACGCGCGCCCTCCTCGCGTTCCTCCGCGCGCACCCGACGCTCGAGCGCCTCGCCGTCCTCGGCGCAGACGCGCACGACGACGACGCCGACGACGATGCAGATCAAGAGGCGGACGACAACGCGCCCTTCCTCTCGCGCCTCACGCACCTGCACGCCCCGCCTGCGCTCGCCGCGCGCGTCCTCCCGCGGCTCTCCGCGCCCCCTCCCGCCCCCGCCGCGCCCCCACCCGCGGCAAAGGGTCTGTCCGCGGAGGCGCTCGCACTCCTCGCGCCGGACCCGAAGCGGCTTGTCGGGTGGCACCGCGTGCGCAGCCAGAACGCGGAGGTCGAGGCGCTCGCGGGCGCGTTTCTCGAGGCGGCCGCCGCAACCGCGCAGGGCGGCGTACGGCGCATTCCGCGCAAGCCCGTCCCCGCCCTTCCCGACGACGGCGCGGGGGAGGAGGGCGCGCAGGTGGTGAAGGCGGACGTGGTGAGGGCGGCGCGCGCCGTGTACGTGCAGTCCCCGCCAGGGCCGGGGGCGGGGCGGCGCTGCACCCGCTGCGCGTGCTGAGGATCGCGGTCGCACGGCCGATGTACGAGGGCGGGGCGGGCGCGGGCGGGGGGCGCGTGGGGCGCGCGGTGGGCGGTCTTTTGGCTGCGCGGAATCCCACAGAGGGCGACGAGGGCCTCGCGCTGCACGTCCTGTTTGGCCCGCGCGTGGAGCGAAGGACGATCGAGAAGGTGCTGCGCACGCTGGGCGCGGGGGTGGGCGAGGCGTTCGCGGCGGCGCCCGCGTCGCCTGTGCGCGGGCGGAAGCAGCCGTCGGCGTGGCGCATGGACGGGGACGCGGCGGCGGTCGAGTCGGAGCCTGGTGCGAGCACTCGCGGGCTCGCGCTGCTGGAAGTGCGGAGCGCCGTGCGCGCAGCGGAGGTGTGTCCCTTCCTCTTCTTTTGAATCTCTCCATTGAGACTCACCCGTCTCCTGTAGCTCTACAAGATTATGCACGGCGTGCTCCCGCGCTACCCGGCGCTGCACACGCTGCTGCTGACGCGCCCGCCGACGCGTTACCCCCCCGCGCCCGGCGTCGCCGCCCACGCCCAGCGAGCCACCCTCCCCACGCTCGCCGTCGTTCTTCTTCCCGTCCCCGCCCTCGACACCGGGATTCCCGCCCCCGCCGCCGCTCCCGCAC